GGAATGCCTGATGGTTTGTGGGTCCAGTTCTCATTGATTTCAAAATATTCAGTGCAGAGATTCCAAGCCGCCATAACCACAACACATCTTCAATTCAAGACAATGGTCCCTTCACATCTAACCGGGGGGCCTTAAACAGTGTTTTTTGACTCTCAATGCCTCGTAAACACGTGTATAACTGTGATTGTGATGCAAGAACAATACTATGGCCAATCATATTAATCATTGAAAAAACATGCATGTATTTAATTTGTGGAAAAAGTGAGTATTCTATATGGCATTCCAAAATCAAAAGTATATAACCATAATGAATTGAGGAACTAGTTTTCTTGTTGCCTAAGTTTTTTTTTCTTTTTGGAATTTCAGTTGCAGCCCATTATGAATCCATCTCTGTTTATCCAGACGATGCTGCCTGCGATTTCTGTCGGGGTGGAATCCGAAGCCAAACCTTCATCATGTCGTATGCCGCAAATCCGACCGCCACCGAAGGAACGATCTGACAACCAAATGGGAACGCACTGTTAGAATGAAAACTAGAAGATATGTTTGATATTATTGCCGAGTAAATAAAATACCTTGATATAATTAATGCTCAACCCTGCAAACAATTGTCTCCATCCTTGATTACGGACAATAGTAGCAAGTCCATCGTATGTGTTTCTAAATCTTGCGTCACCTTGAGTTGTTGAAGATTGAAGACTTCCAACCTGTAGGGTATCATTTCGAAAATTACTTCCCGAATGTTTCGATCGTGTTGACATTATCAGGAGCAAATATAGCAGGGTGAATCAGACTGATTCAAAAACAGTTAATGTAAGCTCTGCCCAAGTAATCCAGCCATTGCTCCACAAGAAAGATTCGTCACGATGGACTTTTGTTGTTCTTCGGGAAGACGTGCCTTTATTACCTCGTAAATGTAGAACTTTAAACCGGCATAAGGGAGGATCCTTGCCAGTGTTGGACCTACACCAGCAAAAAGTATCATGTCCAAGCATATTACGAAATGAAAGTAAGGGTAAATCAAAGCAGTTACATGAAAAAGAATTTCAAGATTACATGCTGAAGCTGAACTACATACCTACACCTCGATATAGTCCACGTATTCCCCCTTCCCTGTAAACACTTGTCAGTACATCTCTTATACCGCTATATGCAGGTCGAGGGTATAAACTTCTCATACCAGAACCGAGTTTTGTCCTATTGTCAACAACCTGTTACACGGTAAAAGTTAAATGAGAAAGAAAAAATTCTGTAAGGGACTAAAGGCACGGATGATTTAGTAATTCAAATCCACAACCAGAATCAGCAATTACATGAAATAATAACTATGGTATTCTCATGGAAAAACTATAACCTGATAGGCAAGTTTAGTGCGAGCCAAGTCCAACGGATAAGTGCACAACACCGCTGTTCCACCAGAAGCAGAACCTGCTAAAAGGTCTACAACAGGTCCTGATCCGAAGAAAGTACAGTTATCTAACATCCAACCTCGATACTGCTCGTAAGTCATGAAATGTATGGCTGCATAAGGAATGATCCGAATAACACTGGCTCCGTTTCCTCTGCAGGTTCGAGTAGGCAATAAGTCTAAGGCAAGGCAGAGAGAGAGAGGGGAAATGGTGAAATAATCTGTAAACTTACTTATAAAACCCCATAACACCTTCATGCTTTAGTACCTTCCTCAAGGATTGATACACCCCAAGAGATTGGAAACCATCAGTCCTTGTCTGTACAATAAAGAATCATCATCACTCGATTGTAAGCAACAACAAATACATAACTTGACAAACAAGAAGCAAGCACCACATATACATATACATATACATATACATATACATATACATATACATATACATATACATATACATATACATATACATATACATATACATATACATATACATATACATATACATATACATATACATATACATATACATATACATATACATATACATGTACATGTATGTACATGTACATGTACATGTCATGTACATGTACATGTACATGTACATGTACATGTACATATACTTATACATATACATATACATATACATATACATATACATATACATATACATATACATATACATATACATATACATATACATATACATATACATATACATATACATATACATATACATATACATATACATGTACATGTACATGTACATATACATATACATATACATATACATATACATACATGTACATGTACATGTACATATACATGTACATGTACATGTACATATACACCCACCTGCAAGAGTATTTTGATCCGTTCTAAAGGTGCAATGGTAGTTTTAGCAATGGCACCAGCAGCACCACCAGCTATTAGCTCTTTGACATAAGCAGGCAAACAATCAATGAAGGAAACATCACCGTGAGCGGTGGAACCGTCGACAAAGTCAGCCATATTCGTCCTCAATGTGGAGCCTTGAGGAGAACCCATCTCAAAAACACCCAAACCCAAACCGATTATATTACCGAAATCAATGAATCCGTCAAATTATAATCACCCACCTTGAAGCTTGAAGAATTCTCTATCCCATCTATCTCTTGGAATACAAAAGCAAAACGATTTCTTTTCAAAGGGTAATTTCAATGGCCTGAGAACATCCAGGTGAAAGCCAGACAGATTCACAAGCCGATCTTTTTCTTCGATAAACCCAAGATACATCCAATAAAAAGAACAGTTTTTTTCAGTTATAAAACTGCTCCATGGGATCGATGTGATAAAAGAACTTCGATTACCTTCAAATTCAATATAGATATATAAAAGAAGTATCCTTTAAAGTATCCAAACCCACCAATTTCAAAGCTTAAACAAACCCAATTTGAGATTCATCCAAGGGGATTAGAAAACGTACCGGAAAAGCAATCTGAGGTAATAAACCAGAGAAGGAGGAACACGTAAGTACTGGGTAAAATCAAGAATCCTAAAATATAGAGATTTCTTATTGGATTTTTTCTGTTCTTCCCCTTTTACCTTCAAAATCTCGAATTTTCGTTGGGGTTTTAAGCTTCAAAGGGACTTTTCTTTGAATTTAAAAGGGGGAAGTACTTGTGTTTGACTATAAATATTGCAGTGCAAGTTTAAGGTCGGCGGACCTTCGAACGTGAAGTCCTAAACCGCGGTGGATAAACACTGTTGTAGGGTAAGCTGGCTTAATTTACGGCTCAATATATTAGGAATTAGGGATACATGAAACTGATCAACTAAATGATTTGTTGATGTACGATAGTTTTAATATGTAGTTAAATTTTTTTTTGTCGGAAATATTATTATTTTTTTAATATTTTTTATAAAATGTTACTTAAAATATTATTTTTATTAAAAATGTTATTTTTACTAATTAATTACCGATAGAATCTAATATTAATATTTTCGGTAGAAAAATAATGTGTTATATAACGTTTTACCGAAAATGTTAAACATTTTAGGTAGCGCCTTATATTAACATTTTTTGTAGAAAAAATAATATTTTAGATAGAACTTTACCGAAAATGTTAAAAAATAATAATATTTTTGATAACACCTTTACTTAGCCGTATATTATGGCTGTCGTGATTTGCTTGGACGAAGATGTCTCAATCATGGGATAAGTTGAATTGAATGTCCTTTTAAATGTTGGATTTAATTTTCAATTCGAGTGATAATTTTTTTATGATAATATAGAGCGTTTATAAGGTAATATATATTTGGAAAAAAATAGAATTAATTAGATTAAACAATTGTGTTAGCAGAGATGTATCTGGACCTAGGCATGAGGGCACCAGCCCAGGGTCTAGAAATTTTATAATACATTATACTTGTTAAAAAATAGTTTTATATTAGTTATAAGATCCAATTATTTTTAATATTTGTTATTAAATGTTTTTTTTTCTCAAATATTTATTATTATTATAGGCTCTATTTTTTTAATATTTATTTTAGGGGCTTACTCTTATAATTTATTTTTTCTAATATATGTATAAGAGTCAAGTTTTTGCTTATATTTTTTTTAACATTTGTTATTAAGGGCCTAATTTTTCCAATACTTATTATATGTGGCATAATTTTTCAATAATTATTATTAGCGTCGTACTTTTGAAATTCAATTTCTTTTTTAATATTTATTTGTTATTTTGAATCCAATTTTTTAGTACTTTTTAAAAGTATAATTTTTTAATATTTGTTATTATGAGGATACTCTTAAAATTTGATTTTTCTTTTAATATTTGTTATTGGGGACTCATTTTTTTCCAATACTTGTTATAATAGAGCTACTTTTAAAATTTATTTTTTCAACACTTGTTATTAGGAACAATCACTTAAATAACAATATGTAACCAAAACAACTATCGTTATGTAGTGATAGCGACATTTTCTGAAACCACGATATCCACAACCGTTATGTTCACAATAACATATGTTATTAAAATTTCACATTCATGATACTTGCAGTGACCACAATATCATCAGTTATGTCATCAATAGCGATAAACACAACATGAGTGAAGACACAAATGCAAACAATAGTTTAAATCCCTGATTAGGGGGCCTAATTTTTTGATTCGTCTGAGGGCCACCAAATTCTCAGAAACGGATTTGTGTGTTAGGATATATTTACATTAACAATTGGTTAATTTTTTTTTAAATATGTATTATAATTCTAATAACATTATAAAAAGTAGAAGATCAAATCATGCTAATTAAAACAGGAGGATTAAATCTAAAAGATTAGTGTAATGAAAGGACTAAAGCTATAATTTGACCATTAAAATATTATCACATGCTTTATTTCCATAAAAAATCTAAATTTTCTTTAAGTTAACAAGGTTAAATTGTATTTTATGAGTTTGATCTCTCTAATAGCTTTCTTCTCATAAAGTTTTCATTGTCTGGAGGACATTTGCTATCTCTTCAAAGGAAAAGGCTATTGCCTTTTGTTTTCTTTAGCAAAATTCAATGATTTAAGATTGTAATAAAACCAAAAACTGATACATGTTTGTTAATGGAAGAAGAGAAAGGAAGAAGCAAGTTCAGAAGGGTGTGTGTTCTCTGTGGAAGCAACTCTGGACATAGGAAAATCTTCAGCGAGACTTCTCTTGAATTGGGAAATGAACTGCTTTGCTTTTTCTACTTCAACATTCTATCTATTACACATTAGTTTCAATTTCAGAAACAAAGTTTGTGTTTTTGATTTCAAAAGATGGAACTTTTCAAAGTTTTAGCATACGTCTTTTATGTTTGAGAGCATTGGGTGTTAGTTTCTAGTGAGAAAGATGAGATTCTTACTGGATTGTTTTGATCCTATAACGATGGAGTTTGTACATTTGGTGTTTCATGTACTGAGTTGGGGTTGCGCTCTTTGCTGAGTTAACCATCAAAGATTGTTCTTTTGATGCAAGAGAGTTGCTTGTAAAAATGTGATATTTTTCTAGTTTCTCTACCTAGACGTCTATGCTACTTTCCTCAACCTAGCCTACTTTGTATTCGGCACCCTTATAATAAAATCATGTGTTCGTCCTTATGTGCTGCAATTGTTTACCTCTTTTTTCAACTTTATGTGGACTTTGCTTATAGGTATTGTTTTGATCATAGGTGAAGAGGAAGATAGACTTGGTATATGGTGGAGGAAGTGTTGGCTTGATGGGTTTGATATCCAAGACAGTAAATGATGGAGGCTGTCATGTTCTTGGGTACGTAAGAAACTTGCATTAGATAAGCCTATGTTTAATGCTTTTTTTTCTCTATGCAAAACCTGTTACAAGTTGCAGACAGCTACCTCCTTTCACACGAGGTATCTGTTCTTCCATTGTTCTGACATTAAAGTTTGGTGTTTTAGGTGGATATGGAACAATGGAAGAATTGCGATATGTAAAATAATCTGTTCTTCACATGCAGGATAATTCCGAAATCTCTCATGCCTCTAGAGGTATCTGTTCATGTTTAATGTTTGGAGTTGCTAATTGGTGCAAGAATTTGCTGGAATATCTTTGATGTCAATTGTTGTTTTCCTTGATATTAAGCATTTATCTCTAGGCTGAGATAGATTGACTGTTAATGCATAGAAAATATAGACAGATATCAGGAGAAACATTTGGAGAAGTGAGAACGGTTTCGGACATGCACGAACGCAAAGCGGCAATGGCCCGAGAAGCCGATGCCTTTGTTGCTCTTCCTGGTAAAAAGTTCCTCGACCTTTGTGAAAGAGTCTTGTTTAATGTAATTAGTTCTGACATTAAAGTTTGGAGTTTTAGGTGGATATGGAACAATGGAAGAATTGCTGGAGATGATAACATGGTCCCAACTTGGAATACATAAGAAAACTGTAAGGAACCATTCTTCAACATTGAAGAATTAAGCTCGCTAAGTTGATATTTATTAGTACATCAACGTGTAAATTAATCTCAATGCATGTTGGTTTGTTAAACGTCGACAGTTACTACAATAATTTGCTCACATTATTCGACAACGGTGTTAAAGAAGGTTTCATCAAGCCAGGTGCTAGGCATATAATTGTCTCTGCTCCAAAAGCCAAAGAACTTATGGAGAAGGAGGTATGAACTTTCCGAGAAACACATAGGGGTACTTGAATATGTAAATCATGTTTCCTTGTGCTATTACATGAACCAACCGTACGAGGCATGTTCGTTACGGTTATTTGGTTAGGCCTTGGGATTACACATCTAAATTTGCACTTAATTTTGCAGCAATACAAAACTTCCGACCAACACGTGGCTCCTCAAGAAAGCTGGCCACTAGTAGATAAAAAATATGTGCAAAGATCAACCTTAGCAAGGTCACCAACAGCGCTGACGCGTCACTTCAACAACCGGTCGTGTTGTTGACGCTGCCACAATGTCGATATCATTAAGTGACATATGTTACGACACGATTGTTTGTTGAAGTATCGTGCCAAACAGAGTTCGAGAATTTTTAAAATTAAATTTGATTAGTTAAGCCCTTCATGCCCCTTCATTGGATCTTTCTTTGCTGTGATCACCTCTGCAAGACCAAAAGGTCGAGCAACTTATGGCTTGCTTTCCGAAAGCAGCTCTTCTCGCAAGTGCCATGTAAGTGTTCCCGGTGTCGAATTTGCATAATCCAGAATCGTTTCCGTTCCATTGTTCACAAGCAATGTTGGTCCAATCTCATCCGGAACTTCGTTGCAGCGCCATCTTATTCCGAGTTTGCAGACTTGGTTGCTAATTCCTGGTCATTCAATAAGAAATAGTACTATGTTAGAAAACCAGCTTTCGAGAATCATATGTACTTTTTGCATCCATTTGGAGATTGTGTAGCAAGTAACTCTTACTGTTTCCTCTTATTATGTGGCTACAGGTCTAATTAATATCGTTGATAGATAAGTCTCAAACCTGACTCGGTGGTGACAACCTCGAACTTGAGAATGCAGTGCAAAAAGCATCAGTACTACTGAGTGCATGGCCACCGCCACATGTGTAGAATCCTTGGCTATGATCACTGCTGCCCTGTCCTTGGTAATAACCATAACCGTTAGAACCACTATTGCTGTATCCAATGTCCCTTAATCGGTTAAGTTCTGGCACTATAACGGTTGCAAGATCTGGTCTGTCCCTCTTCCTCAGCTCTACACATTGCATTGCCAACCGAGCATATGATAAAGCCTCTTCAAGTGGCCAATTTGGCACAGCCGGATCAAGTAAATCGGCTAAAGTTCCTTTCTCAATGGCCCTTCCAACATGATGAGCAATACCCATCGCGGGCTTGGCTGTAATAATCTGGAGCAACATTATTCCTAGAGAATATATGTCTGATTTAGTCGTTAGCATGCCTGTTTGCTGATATTCAGGATCTATGTAGCAGAAGGTCCCTGCTGCTGAAGTCATGTGATATTGCGTTACACTGTCAGCTACAGAAGGGGGAACTAGCCGTGCTAGGCCAACATCACTAATTTTGCTCACAAAATTGCGGTCAAGGAGAATGTTTGCAGGCTTAAGGTCTCGGTGCACTAGTGGTTCTGGCTTTGATTGGTGAAGGAACAGAAGTGCTGTTGCAATTTCAGCCGCTATTTTAAATCGTCTCCTCCATGAAAGTGGACGAGTATTTCCTTTTCTAAATAGTCTATCCTCTAAGCTGCCATTGTGCATGTATTCATATACCAAGCATCCATACTCAGGGCAGGCACCAAGTAGGAGGACCATGTGAGGGTGTCTAATGGTGCAAAGAACCTCAACCTCTTGCTGGAATTGTCTCTTCCCTTGAGCAGCATCTGGTCTCAGAATTTTGATGGCAACTGGAGTGTGATCAAGTTTGCCTTTATACACAGGTCCATAACCTCCTTCTCCAATCTTGTTTTCTGCTGCGAAATTTTCGGTAGCTTCTTCAATTTCTTCTATGATATATTTTCTGTACCGGACATCATTAGTCGCCAACGCATGCAACGCCCGATTTTTCTCATCCGCCTCTTGCTTAGCTTTATACTGCTTGTTTTCTTCTATATGCTTCCATTTCTGCTAGTTTCTGTGCTGCCTCAGCTTCTTCAAGGGCAGCTCTGCATTTAGCCTTCTCCTTCTCTGCCATGGCAAGAGCTGCTTCTTCAGCTTGCCTGGCTTCCTCAAACCTGCGAGCCTCCTGCATCTTCCATTGATGAAGCTCATTAGCCTGCACTCAGAAAAAAGGTTGATTATGTTCTCAAAAATGATGTTCTTGACACCTTTTAGACATTAGAGAAAAATTGGTAACCTTAAGCTCCGTTTTCAGATTCTTCCGTTATTGCACCACTTGATACAAGAAGAAGAACCATTATGTACCTTTTATCTTCAATGACTTTATCATCCGCTAATTTTTACTTTGTTTATCATTTATTCATCAAAACCATCTTATGCATACCAATATGTATAGAAATTTCAACTTTTAGACTCATGAACAAAGTCAAAGATTTGTTATATTTAAGACTTGGGATTTCATAATTTTCTTGGGAGATAATTGTTGATTTAATTCATAGAAACCGAAAAATAGAGAATATGACAGTAGTCGATCACCGTTCTCTTGGCTGTAAGAGCTTCTTTGCAAGCCGAGCTGTACATATCCATGGTTTGTTTAAGTTCAAGCTTTAACCTTCTCATTTCATCTTCTCTGTCTTGCTGCAATTCATGGTCATATCATATTATGGTTAGCAGTTCTGTCATTCAGCCAGTAGTCCTTTATTGTACAAACACATTACAGAGGCTAAATACTGAAGGAACATGCTTACCGAACTTTGTTGAAATGGATCAGAATGGATGCTTGAACCCGTATCGAATTCTAGATCTTGGTCAGATATATGAACAGGTCCGAGGGGAAGTTTTCCCGGAAATTTAATGTCATTATACAAAGAATCTTGTCTAGATGCTGACGATCCTCGGGCTGCATCGATGTCCAATGAAATATTTCCTGGAGAGCTTCTGGGTCTGTCTCGTATAAGTACTCTTGAAGAATTATCAAGGGATTGTCTCTCGGATCCTACACTTCCAGGTACTCCCTTCATATTATATCCTCTGTTACAAGTAAAACATACAATGTCACCATTTTAACTTTTAATCAAACACCAACAATGTAACCGACTTTCTCCCTACCTGTATCCATCATCTTCACTTTGATCCAATGGAATCTGTGGTGGCATTTCTAGAGGTACCTTTGGTGGGGCAACGGTATTCGACACAGGTCGTTGTGCTGTTCTCACGTTAGATATCTTACCTTTGGAGATCACATACACGGAACAAAACTCCGGTGCAGCTTTGATCATTGCAGTCGGGATGTCACATTTGGATTTCCTATAAGACAAGTAACTGAACTTTGATGTGTTAGAACATAATATAAAGAAACACCCTGAACTGAACTTTGATAGTTAGAACATCATATATATAGAAAACCCAGAAATTCTAAAACCTAAGATATATTAACCTTGATATTGCACTCCTGGTTGCTGCACCAAGGACTATGGTGTTGATCAAGTTTCTACTTATGTAATCCAAAAGTGCTTTAGAGGTATCAGCATCCTCAAGGACAACCTCCTTTATTTGAATCTGAATTTCACAGAGAAATTAGATGATAATTAGCTTCAATTTGGTGAACAAAAGTTCTTAAGGTCAGGGTCCCCGTACTATGCGCTTTATGGTGAAATTATCTCCAATATATGTATGCATTTCAATCCTTAAAACAACTTGGATACTCCATTTTTTATATACATGAACAAATATTATACTCCCTCCGTCTCATTATTTGTGTCTGATATTGACTATGCACGTAATTTTAGGAGATATATTTGATAAAGAGAAATAATAAAATTATCCCTAAAAGATGATTAATAGATTTGACAGATTTGTTTTGATAGGTATAAAATAGTGAGATATAAGGATAAAAAAATATAAGTGTTGTTGTTTGTTGATTTTCCTAACGAGACACTTTAAATGAAACAAATTTAAAAATCAAAAGAAACAATTACTGGGACAAAGAAAGTATATATATATATTTTTTTTGGCTTTTTTGTTATGCTAGAAGTTTGAACAACCGTACAAGATGTATGCATTTAGAGGGACTAAATTAAAAAGCATATAGTAGAGGGACTTCCTATAGCATTAGACTAATTCTTAGACCATTGTTATTTGTTCTTGAGAAATGCTTGCTTACCCCTCTGCGAGCGCAGTAGCCTCGAAAAGGGACGAAAAGCTGGTTTACGTCGCTATCAGAATCGCATTCACCTTCTTCATGGAAATGACAGAAAAAATAGAAACAAAAAAGGGTAAAATATGCTTTTAGTACCTAAATTATCACTTTTTATCAGTTTAGTGCCTAAACTTTCAATTTTTTAAAACTACACCTAATATTTAGTTTTTGTTTCATTTTAGTATCATGCCGTTAAAAATTTAACGTATTTAATATCTAAAATATCAATTTTGGTCTGTATTAATACCTAAACTTTCAAAAAATCAAAACCTAACATTAAATGTTGAACGGATATTAAAATGAAACAATCTAAACTTCGGCTATGGTTTTAAAAAATCAAAAGTTTAGGTATTAAAATGAATCAAAATTGATAGTTTAGGTATTAAATACGTAGTTTATCCACACAAAAAGGGAATGCATGGGGCGATTTTTTTTTTTTTTTTACTTTTCATTGTCATTTACACTTTTCTTTGAACACTTGAGGGGCAAGGGAGATGATATAATATGAGAAAACGAGAGAAAGGGTACCTACGGTTTCTATTCCTAACGTGGATCAATACGATGAGCGGATTGGAGATGGCGAGATGATCGATAGCCCAACGAACGGCGTGGGAACTGTTCTTGTCTTTGTCGATGGCCACCGCAGTGGTGTTGGATGGTACACTGTCTTCCGGTGAGAAGCGAGGAGCCATATATATAAAAAAACGACGTTGTCTCCGGTAGAGGCGCTCACTGCGACGGTGGTGTTTGCTGCAGAATCTTTCCCGGTTGATGACCGAATCAAGTTTCTGCAACCACCACCACCACCACAAGCACCGACGTTGCAACCACCAGGGAGCAATGCCACCCCCACCACCTGCGATGGCGTTTGTTAACAAAAATTAAACGGGAATGATCGAGGAAGGAAAGAAAATATAGGCCTAGTTTTAGGCTTGTTCACCTGCTAATTTGCGTGAAACTACAATGGATCCTCCATTTCCGCCATGGCTTGTTTTAGACAATTTGACCAGGTCCATGCTTGTAAAGTCTCTAATTTGTAAGATAAAAATATAGAAATCTAAATGATTTAATTAAATTTATATGTAGTTAGTTTTTTTACGAAAGAGCTGACGTTATCACGTGAACCTAAATATTTTATAGATATTATTGCTTCAACATAATT